GTTATTACCCTCATTTTGAAGCTAAAAATGGCTCCGCCTACAGCAGAAACAATATATCAGGAAAAGATACCAACCGTCAAACTGATACTGCACGATATATTGTTGAACACTTCTAGAAGAAAGAATACCAAATGATGGTTTGTAGGTGAGGAAAACAGGAACCAAGGGGTTGAGAACGCTTCCACCAGATGGAGCAGCTTATTGGCAGCCACCATGGAGAGCGATTTCAGGTAGGGAGACACTACAATACGGCAATTTAGAGAATAATAAGTTAGTGGCGTAATGATATGTCTTCAGACAAACAGTGGCCACTGAAGACTCACCATTCACAATTATAGTAAGTAAACAATCAAACAATGACTGAAGACGATGATTTCCTGTAGTGATCAACTTGTGGAAAACCTGAAAACCATGGATTGGTTCACGGAGCAGAGAAAGCTTAATTTCGGGAAAACCATAAACATATGGCTAACTGAATAATCAAACCAAAAACGTACGATTATCAATAGGTCCGCATGAGTTCCAGTAAATGCCTGAATATCAATCGCGGCTTTGGCTATGTAGGGCTTATTGAGGCGTACACCGAAATTCCTTTCTCCGCTAAGAAGCAGCACGAGGAACACACCCATATGGATCAGACCGACGCGTGCTAAATTACAATGTCATTCGACCTAACAAATTTCAGGTTACTCTGTATCCATTTATAGCTCAAAAACGGATAAAGTATGCTGTACCCAGAAAAAATGTGCTAATTGCTCTATAAATCCATTCATCTCTCAGGTATACCCTTACATACAGAAAGAGCCAAAAGAGTGGCAAAATCAGTTGATAAAAAAGCAACCATTCCCTCTTCAACACGAAAAGTGTGTTAGAGCCAACAAATTTGTCACAAATACCGCAAATAAGATATGCAGAGTGAAACTGATGAGGAGTGAATGGTTCTGCGTAGCTGCCATCAATTGTAACCAACGAAATTTTGTAGAAAGCTGCTAAACACTTACTCGGATCATTTCTTGACTCAGTAATATGATACAAAATTGGCACGAGAATCTCGAGCACATCCGACGTTTTCAGTACATAGAACATGAATTTCTAAAGATACACATATTCACTGAGCGAAGCAAAAAGGAAACCCTTCATACCTGGTTATATTCGCAACATTTCCATAATAAAACCAGCAATTCTTGATGGAAGTTAATCTTCTTAGCAGAGTTTGGAAGGTATGTGGACTGCAGTGGATTACTAAGTAATCTCGTCATCCCCTGAAAAATAGGCTTTATTCGTACAAATGGCGTGAGTTTTAGCAAAATGCATTAGTTTCTCCACCTTCAACATAAAATCGAAATCTTCTTCACGATGAATTCTTCCCAAATAGTTTATGAAGTAATTGTCTGAGTAACCGGTTTCATCGGCTTGTGGTTGATTATCCTTGTCCAGGCACACGATCAGCACCTAAGGAGTAAATAAATGTGAAAGCGAAGGGTGCTCTTCGCAGCCACTGTTGAGTCTTTGTCGAAAAGGTCTAGGGAACAGGGAAAAATAGGCGAGAAAAAAGGCCGAGAAAGCCAAGAAGAGTCTATTTAGTGAAACAAAAAAAAAATAGGGAACACACCTGTAGAGCGACCTCAACAAGAGGTTCTCTGTAGTCATTGAATAAGCAATTAGTAAACGTAAACTCTCAGTCCAACTGTTATATAGCGCACCTGAGCGACATTAAGCTAAGGAGTAGAATAAAAAAAAAAACAAGGGGAGTACATGGCGATTTTCTGCAGACGTAAAGCGGGAAACCCAGCGCAGACGACTTTCATCTGCAAAGGAATATCGGTTGCCTTTTAGTAGGTGAGGTTCTATTAGAAGAGAGACAGCACGAAATTTACTCAGAATCTACTGAAAAATACCTGTGACGGGAGCATATATGACCTCTGAGAAGCATGTCAAAAGCAGCTTCAACACTTCTGTGCGATTCTGGTCAAGTTGAGCGCTTGAAACTGGCTTATTTGCAAAACCAACTCCAGCTTCCCATATCAGCTCACATGTTTCAAGAGAAGATAGATCATTTACTTTTTCCTTCAACATACAGTAATCATATTAAAAGGTAGCCAACTTCATCATGCACTATTTGGGAGACTCTTACCTTGACGCCTCCAACAGTGAATCCTGGACAAAATAGGAGATATCACCAAGAATACCAGAAGTACAACTTGCCCATTGGCCTCTGCCGGCAATCTCCCTGAAAGTTTGATTAAACTATAGTAAAGATTTGTTCTTCATCCTCACAATGGCTAGATAATAAGATGGCAACTCCAAATACAGAATTCCTGAACTTAATATATTCAGGATTGAAACTTACGGTAGGTATCGAAGCCCAGTAATAGCCTCTCCACTCCGCATCTTCAACATGTCAGGCGCAATATAGCTCGTTAACAGTCGATCGCAATTAATAACCTGCAAAATCCCATTGGACTGAAGAGAGATCACTTTTACGAAGGGGTGAATTATGAGAAGAGGAACCTAGATCAGGTACAAAAATTAACAAGAAACACAACAATTAAATAAAAAAAGATATTATGAACATTCATTCACCTTCTTTCCACATTCATTTGGATGATCTCTAGCATGCTGTAACTTCTCCAATGTTTTGTAACATAAGGTGGCTAGATTCTTTGGTGAGTCCTCTCTGAATCGAGACAACGAAATTATTCGCTACTACAGGAAATATTGGAAAAAGAAAATCAAATGTACCTCAGCTTTCTAATATCATCAGCAGGGATCATGGCAAAAACATCATTAACACTATGAATGTTGTCGGGAGACCATAGCTGTTCCCAGAAAGTGTCATCATTCTTAAAAAAAAAAGTGATAAAACAACAAGATTTGCGACCAAGACTTCTATTTTGATACCCACATCACTTCCTAAAGAAAAGCTGCTGATTAACAACGAAAAAACTGGCAAGTTTTCTTTAGCAAGTATATACTGGATGAGAAATCTACCTAATAATCATACTGAAGCTAATATAGCAAATCAAAAAGATGAAAGCTTGTTACTTGACAAAAGTAAAATCTCAAACGCTAATCCCTGTTGTGCGGCAGGTAGTTAAAGTTCGTCCCCCTGACCCTACCTGCATCCCACGCGAGGTCAGGGACGAAATTCCCGATCGAATTTTAATTTCGAGCCCACGTTAGCCAACCTTCCATCCCCTCGCATTAGTTAAATGGCTCAGATAGACCCGTTCAAAAGATAAAGGTACTGATTTGTACATTCACAAGCTCGTAAAAGTCACTTTATGGGCTCGTTCGAATCACTACGAACCACGATATTTCTGAGATGCAGCGCGCCATGTGGCGGCATCCATCACAAAATAGACTGATGAGCACCGAGACTCTGCGCTATATCGTAGTTATTGCACAGCATGTTAGCGAAGAAAGGTGGCACCCTACAAAATTAGGCGGTTTTCAAGAAGGTAAGGAAGCGTTGGAAAGTAGGTAGGCATTACGGCTAGAGGATCGACTCATGTATGTAGCAAAAACTAAACAAAGGAACCGTTTGAACGAGCCTTGCTTTGCCTAAGATGCTTCTAGCCTATGCACACCATAAGTGACCTTGCTCAACACATCAAGGGAATTTGAAAAGAGTTGGGAGACGAAAAGCGCTTTAATACTCTGTTGGCTTTCAGTCCTACCTCTTAAAAACTGACAAAAAACAAAAGTATAGACACAGGAATCAGAAAAATAAGAAAGAAGAAAACTTGCGAAGATTCACAAACCTGTTTCCCATGCTTCGATGTGAGATCAATAACAGCTTGCCGAAAATTTACCTTACTGCCCTGAGCCCCCCATCTGAAAAAGTACACTAGTGCTAGATTTCACGTAATTAATTCACATTCAACCTTCATACGGAAGAAGAACTAAAAATACATTAGAGGGAGAAAAAAAATTAAGAATGGAATAAATAATGCAAGAGCGCTATGAAGGTTCGCAAATGACGTCATTATTTCTTGTTGGTCCCAAACAGAATTGCCTTAAGATTGCCGCCATTAACTGTCAAAGCCAGCTTATTTCTTCCGAGTGTCCACTGATTTCACCTTCATTTTTCTTTTCTTGATTCTTTCGGAATCGATTTGCTTTTTGAAACACATTTAATCTCTATTCGCACGTATTAGAGTATCGTCCGCTACTAAGAACCGCGGAAAAATCCTCTAGATCAAATTGAACTAGCCGGTTTCTAGTAGTTTTTTTTTCAGATAAGATGGGATTGTGTAAATGTCCCAGAAAGAAGGTCACAAATCTGTTCTGTTTTGAACACAGAGTGAACGTCTGCGAGCACTGCTTGGTGGAGAATCACCATGACGTAGGTTTAGTTTTAAAGGCAATTTGAGCATCGGAATAGACAGCTTAAACATTTTTATGATGAACAGAGGCGAAGGGTTTTCCTAGGAATAGTTATCTATCCTTGAAAGTACCTTCTCCTTCAGTTCAAAGTGCATTGCCCCTGTCTTTTGCGATAGCGATACGATGTTGCACCATGTGTTGAGTGCGCTTGCAAGAAATGATCAGTTAACCCCAGTCATGCGCTTCAGATGCTGTTGAAATCTACTCTTTCATCGATCGCGTTTGTGTTCAATTTTAGTTGTTGGTTTTTTGCCCTACCTTGTGAAGTTTTTCTTTTCTTCTCTTTGGCTTCAACACCATACCTTCCACACTGGAAACATGCACGGGTGGAACTATTATAATCAAACGATGACCGAAGTTTCCTTAGGGTGTAGATTTTGTTTTAAACCTAGAGCAGCAAAAATTTCGGAAGACTCCAAGAATCAGGTTCAAATTCTCCTTAATAATTGTTGCCATGTTTCGTGTATAATACCTTCGTCAGGTAGTTGCCTCGGCTAGTGTGGAAAAGCTGTGGGAGCCCACGGTGCTTGGGAAAATTCTTCGTTCTCTCAAGTGATGTTACGATTGCAATTTTTCTCCTTTAGTGCGTCGTACAAAGCTATCTCCAATGGCTGACTGATTGTGACTTCGACACAAACTGCTCCTTGTGTGAGAGGCCCCTTGCCGACGCTGAAACCATTCGTCTTCAGTGCCTCCGTGAGCGCTTCTTCCAACGATGGTTTTCCCCACGATGTTACTCTGCTTTTGATATTAGTTCTCGTTTTAGATCTGCTTCACTGGTCGTGTCTTGACCAATGGGCTCGACGTTTTCCGGCCACCACTGCTCCGGCTGGCTATTGTTGTCCATTTTGTCGGTGTGTTTCTTACCCCTGTACCATTGCTAGCATTTGTAAGTTAGAAGTTTTTCATACAAATAACAAATCTTAAGTTCTTGCTCTTTCAATCTTTGTTTTCTCCATGTTTTGGGTGTTTTAGTGAGGCCTTATTTCCTGCGGCAAACCAAACTTCTCCTATGATAGATGAGCTTCGCGCCAAACTCCAACAGGCTAACTGGGCTCGAGCTGGTCTGGGCCTACCGCTGGTTGGTATCTCTGCACTTTTTCGTCATTTTTCTTTTTCTTTTACAACAATTTTCTCTTACAGCTGCCTGAATTGAACCCTCCGCCTATGCTTCCTCAGCAATTTTCTCATTCGGCTGCTTCCAATATGATGCATAAACCTCCACAATATAACAGTAATGATATGGCAAATGGTGGGCAATTTGTAATGCATGGCAGTGATGTTGCAGCTAATAGGTAAGAAAATTTCGTAAGATCATTCGTGGACTTGGTGAAAATGATAGCGGTGAATTGATCTGCGATGAATGGTGAAGTTTAGGTCGAACACAGCCACGCCCGACGTAGCATTGGATATGGACGAAGTTGCATATTCTGGAAGCAAGGAGCAAGTGACGTTCACGTGTACGTTGTCTTTATACGACACTTATTGAATCATGTGAAGTTATTTAACACATTCACGCCGATGGCCGCCCATATGGGCTGCCAACACATGTGCTCCTGGGACGATGGCAGCCCATATGGGCTGCCAGCTGATAATCGCTTGCCAGGCGCTAGGAATGGAAAGATAGGTGGGTAAATCTCGTAATCGAGTTAAAATGCTTTTAAATTCCTTCACGGGGAAAGCGAATAAATGCTCTCTTTTCGTTATTACTATTTAATTTTGATCTTAATCTTACTACCATATGTTTAGAATCTTTACGCATTAATTATCGCTGAAACTATTTTGTGGCATTCATGTTTTTGTTTATTTAGACATAAAATCAACTAATAAGAGGTGAGGCTTCCGGCACACTCCCTGCGCCCGTCCACGGACCGAAACGTTCAAAGTATTTCACACTATAAGCAGGATTTGTAAAAAAAGGGCTGTAATGGCAACTTACTGAGCGTCAAACGTATGGTTCTGTGGGAGTGCCGCAGTTGTTTTCATAGTTAACGCCAATGCGCAGGTCGCATTATCCTCAGAATACGCTGCCAAGATTAGATACGTATCGATTGAATTCCCACTTCACCGCAGAAATTCAGCGTATTCCTCGGTTTCCATGCATTCCACGTGACCAATGACCGCTAGCATAGCGATATCGGGGTCCAATTTTGATAGTACGTGACTTCTTCGGTAGCTTTTATAGCACTTTAGTGTGTTCAACAAAACCTTGAAAATAACGGCGAGCATCAATTGGCACTGAAGAATGGCGTGGATAAGCTTGCCTTTGAAGCAGACAGCCCACACCGAATGAGTCTGGTTTAACGTCGATGGTGGGATGCCGAAGGACTGAACGAGAAAATAACAAATAATCGCCAAGAAATTTTAGGTGAATTCGCCCCTCTTCCGCCTCCTGAGATTCGAGGGCCGGGACCGGACGAGATTGTTTTGCCTTGCCATGCGTTCTACTGACCAGCGGCGATTGAAATTAGCGCGCGACATTGACCCGCCAGCCATATCAGGCAATTCTCCATCAAGAAGCAAATGGAAATCGTCAACGACCGAAAATTTGCGCACTTGTCCCGCTCTCAGGGAGCTTTTCAAGGTCGTTTTTTGCTCCGACGACGCTTCGTGTGCTCTCGACTAGTGCTCGCGAATCTTTTCACTAAATTAGTAGCAAAGGTATATCATCTGGGGGTTACCGCTTTAACTACCGCATTAACCACATTGTTTTCTTCCTCTTGTTCTCTTTAATGTAGTGCTTCAGATTATCTCGTGTTTTTTTTAGCACGTAAGAAACATCCTGGTGCTGAGTCCGATATTGCCAGCCGCTGCTCTTTCAAGGCTACCGGATCGGCGAGTTGATACGCGATCAAAACAAGGACAAACGAGCCAGCTAGAGAGGATTGAGAGGGATTTGGAAGTGAGTTATCAGTGTTCTTTTTGTTGTTTCGAAGCGTTATAATTTCTGGAGCTCTTCTGTCGAATAAGCTCTTTCTATTCCTTTCGATTTCCAGAGCCAAGTATGGAAATGCACCGCCGGCTCAATTCACCGGATATAAACGCGTTCTACTTGTTCTCCTTTTCTTCGTGCTCGTTGTGGTGACCGTGCCGTCGTTGTGCTGACTAGAGTTGGGCTCGGAGCGGAAGATGATCCGCTGCTCGATCCCATGAACAATCCTAATATTCGTGTTGCCGGTTGATGGTGTGGGGCATTCTCTCTAAAAGCCGGGTTTCACCCATATGTTTTTTTTACTACTACTTGTGCGCTTTGAAAAAAAAGTTGGCCGCGATGCATCAGCAACCACATTTATGTTGATTTATTTGATCTATGAAAAAATGGCGGTATGGAAGTCTTGTCGAAACCTCTGTCGTAAAGTGCTGAAGAGCATTTATTAATTCCATTTTGGAAATCAAAATTTTATTGCAAATGCGCTATCATACGCACAATACGCCCTGAAGATATCTGATTGTAATGGGATGTATGGACCAACTCTTGATTAAGTCAGTAGAGCAATTGATGTGCTCATGTACATTCATTATGTTAGCCTGATCAGCATTCCTGAATTCTATTTTTTCTCCGGGAAATTGGCGGAGCGCCCTGTTGGTGCTGGCTGGTAAATAGCGCCAGCGTCCTGTTTAGATTGTTTCTTTTATACTGTTCTCTCTTTATTTTCATCATACGTGATATCTGTGATATTTAATGCAAACCGCTTGTTACTTGCTATGTATAACTTGGGTGACTATTAAAGAATAACATTTCAATGTATTCAGTTCGATGTAAACTGGTCAGCTGCCGAGTGATGTCTCATTGAGTCTCGTTTGGACTTTTATTCACTTGTGCAAATGAACATCTAATGTATTCTAGGGTATGCACCGCGTTGGCTCGGTAGCACGTGCGGTGCGCTTTGGAGGCGCCGCATGTCGGCGAGCACATCAGTATCACTGCAGCTGCAACCGGAAAAATAGTGAAAGTTCAATTGATGAATAAGAAGCTACTCGGTTGATCCAGACTAATCATTGCAAGTCGTTCTATTGTAATATTGAATTAGGAACTAACAACTTCAAGTGTCAGTTCTAACAGAATTAGAGTTCTAGTTATAGTCACTATTTCATAAAGTTACGGCTACTCAGCGGGGAGCTTCCACAAATGTATTGGACTGTCAGGCGTTGTATACTGAGGAAAGCTGGCAGTATGATTGCTGCTTTTACTCTGAGTAGTCTTGGTTATTTTCTTCTTCCCATGAGAATTCAACTTCGGATTGGGGTGTAGTTTACTTTCTGGGTGGCAGTAATGATAGTTTCAGATTTAAATTTCGACCACAAATAGCTGCTCACGACTGGCCTCAGGATTTTTTTCGTTTGGTGCTGTTAGGCATGTGCTTGGTGGTATAGACATTTCCTCGATTCTGCTACCGATGATCGACAATGCGATTGCCAGGGTAACTGTCGAAAGAATGTGGTCTCGTTGAGGTTTGAAAAGAGCAATGAAGGTATTGCTTGTTTCAGTAAAACTTCTATAGAAGCACATATATGAAAAGTACAATGTTCAGCCAGTAGCGTCATGCGCAATGCCAGTAATGAAAGGAATGAGGGTAAAAACCAACTCAGAACTCACACGTAAGGTGCGAGAAGGAATTATGGAGTTCCTTCTCACTAATCATCCTCTTGACTGCCCCATTTGTGATCAGGTTAGTTCTTTTTTGAATAGTTTTCATCGTGATGGCAGGAATGATTGTTGAATAGTTGAGCGGTTCGGTTCTAGGGAGGCGAATGTGACCTGCAAGATCAATCCATGGTTTTTGGAAGCGATCGTGGACGCCTTGTCGCTACTTATGATGGGAAGAGGTAGGCTTCGATTCTCTTTTTTGAAATTACCGTAGTCAAGTTGCTCATTGTTACATATTTTCCATGTATTTCAGAGCTGTCGAGGATAAGAACATCGGTCCACTTGTGAAGACAGTTATGACTCGGTGCATTCATTGCACGCGTTGTGTACGATTCGCAAATGAGGTACGTCTCAAGATGGATTCAGTTCTCTCGCTCACAATTCATATTTGAATACTGTTAAGATAGCCGCTTTCCCCGATTTCGGCACTACGGGAAGAGGATCTGATCTCCAGGTAACTTCTCTTTTCTATGCGGTTTTTTATAAACATTCATAATCACTAAACCCCGTGCGAGAAATTTTACGTTGTTTTTCTTTGCTCGAATTGCAAAATTGTGTTATGAATGAAATTAAGGAACAGTTTGTTCATCAATGCATGACTAATTATCAAATAAACCAAACATTCAAAGGCTAACAGTCAGTTATAAGTGGAATTTTCTTTTGGAGCTCCCTTCATCGTTAGTTCCTGGTGCTATTCCATCCGTTCTGCTTTTTTGATAGAATTTTGTTTATGGAGAGGGTGTTCATGTCATGAACTAGTTTATTTGCAGTATTTGAAATCTGGATGATTCGCAATATCGGTTTTTGGCCTATTTGCGGAAGAGCATGCATAATAAAAGGATAAAGATAAAGCATTTGCCGTTGATCAATCCCTTTTTTGGGATGCGGCACGCACTTCCATTTGTACATTCGTAGTGGCGTTTGAATGCGATGTGGCCTATACAATGACTTGCGGGGCCAGCCGATGTACAAGTCAGTGTTTTTATCCTCCCAGACAAGTCTGGTACCAATTAACCGACCCCGGAGGGATGGAAGGCTTGGTTGGCCCGGGCGACTCACGACCCAGGATTTGATCCCCGGACCGCTCGCGTGGTAAGCGTGCCACTTGCCACTACACCACTTCCGCCCGCATGCATAATATATCCTGCAAAATTACTGGTTGACTTTACAATTGAGCATATTGCAGATTGGTACTTACGTCGAGAAATTTTTCGCTTCCGAATTGTCTGGAAACATAATTGATCTTTGCCCTGTTGGTGCCCTCACCAGCAAGCCGTACAGGTAAAACGTTACCCCTTACTTCACGTTCGATAATTTTCGTGGTTACTTGCTACTGTCATATTTCATTTTGATATTACTTGTGAATCTCGCAAATATTTTATTGTATAATTTCAGCTTTACTGCCCGACCGTGGGAGACTCGAAAGACGGAAAGTGTTGATGTGATGGATGCTATGGGTTCAAATATCGTAATCTCACATAGAACTGGCGAACTGCTCCGTGTTATCCCGAAAATAAACGACGTAATTATAGCAATAATTTGTTTTTGTTCTAAATATCTCTTATGTCAAGTACGGATTTTATTTTATTGAGGTCAACTTCTTTTTTCAGGAGGTTAACGAAGAATGGATCGGCGATCAAACACGCTGGGCTATTGATGGGCTGAGGACGCAACGTCTGATGACGCCAATGATGAAAGATCAGAATGGCGTCCTGAGGTGACTTTGCTTCTCGCGTAAATTTTACTTTTTCGGTTTTCTAACGTGTAGCATCACATTTTTTTCTTTTAGACCAGCCTCATGGGAAGAAACTTTGTTTGTTGTTGCACAGAAACTTCGTGAAACACCTGCTGAGCAAAAAGCGGCTGTAGTTGGAGGTCTCAACGATGTTGGTAAGTATCTTGCTTTAATAGATCCAGATCGGCTCCCTTTTTCCTTGCTCATCGGCTGTTTTTTGGAAAGTGAAATTTGTTGGTTTGAGGTTATCTGTCCTTGCTCCAATTGCTTACTCCTTGTTTTTATTAGAATCTATTTTTAATTACCTCGGAATAATAAAAGTAAGGTTCGCTTCTGCAACTAAGTGTCTCCTAGTTTTTGAGTCGATTCGAAAATTTTGTTTGCATTATGTGTAGTTTGCATTGGTATTTATCATAGTTTTCGGTTGTTTTAGAATCGTTGGTAGCGCTCAAAGATCTTTTCAACCGTTTCAATTCCGAGAACGTTTGCACCGAAGAGGAGTTTCCAGCAACATCCGACTTGAGGTATTGGAGTTTTCACTTCTTAGTCTTTTCCTTCGCCTTTTTTCTACTTGATTCGATACGCACTGAGAAGATCCATCACACTTTAATTATGGATTTCAAATATATTCATTTATTAGAAGTTTATCCTACTTTTTTGGCTACTAAGCGTAGTTCAGTCACAAGTTTCTTCATGGTTTCAGTTTTTTTTTGTTTTAAATGAGCTAAAAGTAATAGTGACCGCTCTGGTTGAATATCTCCATTTTTTGATGAATGGTTCTGAGAGCCTCCTTTGACTATTTTCTATGTACTTGTGCTGCGCTTACCTTGATTCTATTTCAGGTCGAATTACATAATGAATGACACCATTGTGGGTGTGGAGAATTGTGATGCACTTTTACTCATCGGAACTAATCCACGTTACGAAGCTCCAGTTCTCAATGCCAGAATTAGGAAAATGTGGGTGTTGTATTTAGGGTCCTTCTTTGAATTCTAATCGTTACGATGGTTACATGGAGTTGTTTTTTATTGTAACCTTTCAGTTACCTCAACACCGATATTGAAGTTGGTGTGATCGGTGGCGATTCTGACCTGACATATGATTACGAGCATATTGGCAACAGTACAAAGGCGATTGATGATGTTATTGCTGGAAAAACTCCTTTCGCAAAGGTGTGTAGCGAGTGTATCGGATATCTCTAGATTTCATCGTACACAGCGATGCTAAGTGTATGTTGAAATGACGCATAGCCACTGCATCGGCTTCAATTTTTTTTTCAATTTTCTCAGAGTAACGGTACGAAGCCTGTTGAGCGGGTCGAGTTCCTGTTGCTTTATTTTCACTTTTCAGAAGTTGTTGTCTGCTAAGAATCCAATGATCATCGTCGGATCAGCAGCAGTCCAAGGAGAGAAGGGAGCCGACGTGTTCGCCAAGGTTCAACAACTGGTTAGTTGTTCTGCTATTTTTATTTATGCTCATGATATTTGTAAAGATTCCTCATTGCTGTTCAATAATGCTCATGTTGTGGGAAATCCGATTAGTGTTTGTTCGAACAATATTCGAGAGTTGTCTTTCCTTGTTCATCTGGAGGCTCATTTCTTTTTATTCTCCATATTCAGGCTGACAAAGTCCGTTCAAGTGGATCATGTGATAAGTCGAGGAAGGTTGTGAACATTCTGCATCGCTGGGCTGGTCAGGTTGGCGCCTTGGATGTGGGCTACCAGGTGAGGTGACCTTACACGAGTGTGGTTGTACTACCTATTCACGGTCATATTTGTTCGAGCGTAATTTCCTCCTCTGTGAAAGATGTTTGATCATTATAGGCAGGCACGGCAGCAATTCGCAAGAAGCCAATTAAGTTCCTGTATTTGTTGGGAGCAGATGAAGGCAAGGTCACCAGGCAAAATCTCGACCCGTCCGCCTTTGTCGTATATCAAGGTCAGAATGCGGTTTTTGGTGTCTCAGTTTGCAGCAAAGTTACCTGAGTTAGACAGCTAGCTCGATTACTGCTCTAGTTTACGACTCTGATTTACATAGCAGAGATGCTAGAATGTGTTGGGATTTATTGCTGGTAAATGTACGTGAATTCAATGTTGATTCGTTAAGGACACCATGGTGACGCTGGTGCTGAAATGGCAGATGTCATTCTACCAGGAACTGCTTATACGGAAAAGGAAGGAATATATGTGAACACCGAGGGTCGGGCTCAGAGGTATGTAGTTTTAGCAGATGTAATTTTAGCTTCAGTTTCATGAAAAAGTACTCAATGAATACCAGTGATTTTCAGTCATCTAGATATTTCATTGTATTTTTTGAAATCCATAGTAGCAGTGAAATAGCATAGCGTACTTTTTCATATACTTTGTTGTAAGGGTATTAGTTTCACTTTCATATTAAAATGCCAGGGCAAGCCATTTAGAATCACAGTTTTATGTAAAAAATGGCCTCGTAGACGTTCGTGTATAAGCTTTTATCCTCCCTGAGTCCTTCACCAACTGACCGAACTAGGGTGAAAAAGCTGGGTTGGTTGGGGCAAGATTCAGGATTTTACCCCAAAACATTCTCGTGGTATGAGGTCGCACTAAAGTACACTTGCTACTACATCACCACGCCTACTCTTCCAAATGTTACTATTGATGTCAAAAATGAGATATTAAATTGATTTCGATTTTTGCAGTAATTATTTCCGTTAACCCTGTGGCTGGGGTAATTTAATAGAACTTTCCTTCGATGTTTCAGAACCCTGCCAGCTGTTACTCCACCTGGAGAAGCTCGCGTTGACTGGAAAATTATCAGAGCCATTTCGGAAGTAGCTGGAAAGACATTACCTTACGATGATCTTAAGCAGTTGCGTCACAGAATTTCCGAGGTAAGTTGGGCCTTGAAAATTGACAGCGAAATCGTCTGCACCTCTGTAGTAACATTCCTACAGTACGATTCCATTCTTGAAAAGTCTAATGCATTTGTGCTGTGGAAGCTTCAGCTGTCGAAATGTTCCACTTCTTCATGATTTTGTCTGTGAAAGCTGGTTGAAACTTGATGTTCGTTGTTAGGGTTGTATGTGGATGGATTGTTCCAGATTGCGCCTCATCTCTTGCGACTAGGCGATGTGGAGCCTTCTGGCTACCTCAAGGAAGGACTTCAACTAGTCAATTCAACGGTAAGTTAGTCGATATCCTTAACATCAAGATTGTTCATGGACGTCTTATTGGTTCCAGACGGGCCCCGTTGATGTAGATGTGACACCGAAGCAGAAAGTGTTAGCAGATTTCTACATTACGAATGTGATTTCTCGTAATTCGACAACGATGGCGCAAGGCTAAAAAGGCTGCCCTCAAGGATCAGGTCGGTGGTTATCTCTCAATATTACTATCAAGATAGATGTGGTGAAAAATTACCATTTCCAGGAAAACCCGTACGTAGAAACTCAACGGCTCCATTTGCATGCGTAGAGAATTTGCGAGGAGACCGTTTCGGGACGCAGGCACATGTTCATAGATTTTAGCTTGCTACGGTCGTTGATTAGATTTCTAGTGCTCGTTTTTGTTTCCGTAAGATGTAATTATGTTTGTATTGTTGTTAGAGTAGAGTCGATAAATCAATCCTATGAGTTCAGCGTCTTGCACATTTTTGTAGTGAATTTGGGATCCATGAGGTTGATCAAAACTAATTTGAAAACTTTGTAAATCGAAGAAATGACGGGCAACGATGAAGGACGTAGGGGCCCTTTTCCCAGTTTTGCCTTTTTGCACAAGTGCTGGTGTAGGAATAGGCGATAGTAATCGTGCAAATTAGCTTAACTCATATTCTTGTTAGCACTGCTGCTTAAGGCAATGAAACACTGGAGTGCATAGAAGACGACGGCAGGTGAGAGAGGCTACAACGAATGAGGGCTTGCGGGGAGCGTGCCGGGAAAATCTCTCATATTGCGAAGGGAAGAAAAACCTGGAGGCATACGCATAAATAGGAAGCGGGACGGTCCTAGCGCCACACCGACCTCGCACTTGCAACTCTAAAAGAACGTGAATCCGTGACTGTAGTTGCGCCAGCTCTGTACTACGCACCGATATTGGACCGCGACCCCACAATGAACACATTACTAGTGTCGTGGGAGTGTGCTTTAAGTCCTGGAAAATGCTTGAAAAAATGGCAAATGATGAAGAGCAATCGATTGCTATCAGAAGAAAAAACACTTTTGAGGGACTATTTCGAACGCTTCAATAGTCGTCCATTAGAATAGATCCGGATGGCATGCCTCAGAATTCGCACTTTTTAAAGGAAACCTATCACTATGCTCGTGGACCGCGGCATTGAACTAGCCGGTAAAAGGAATAGCAGGGAGATTGGTTGAGCATATTCCTTTTATGGCGCACATTCATGTACTGACGACGTGAGTCTAATATGCTTTCCCAGAGTCCACAGTCAATCAATCCTTTAACAGAATTCGAAAACATCTGCGCCACCTGTGGTGAAAAAGCCGCTTCGGGGAGTCAACGGAAGCCAACTTCTTCAGCGCTCCTTTTCAAGAAGATTATTCACGCACTAGACAGGAAAGGTCTTCTCCTGGTTAATGCTCGCGCTTTTACTGCATCTATGTTTAATGCATTAAGTAGAACATAGAAGTATTTTCCTGACGCCTGCACCTCTAAACGCAGAAAGACGCGACATTGGATTCGTGGTCGGATCCCCATCGGTGGACAATTTTTTGTGTTTTCAATAAACGACTTGACGGGTGATGTCCGGAAAACGGTTATACGCGGCCCAAAACGGTTAATGAGTGCCTTATGAGCACAAGGGCTATGAGTAGCGAGGTGGGAAAATTTGTACCAAAAAAATGTCATAAAGGTATAGCGCTTGCAGCTTTTACACATCTTTGATACTCACTCGGAGGGTTCGCCCCTTTTCCCCCACCCCCCCCTTCAGAAAGTGGACCGTAGCTCTGAGTTTCCAATGGCATGTACTCCGATACCGGGCCAAAGAAACGTTCCAAAAAGCAGGGGCGGAGATAAACGGCTTTGGTGAGGCATAACCTTTATTAAGTTATTGGACAATGGCTCACATGCACAGCCTTTACCTAGTTTGCTGGTTCCTTAAGGGTTGTCGGTATACCGTGTTCCGAACTTCCGGCAATTGTCTATGCCCCCATTGCTGGCGCTGAAGAGCACCATGGTCGACTGGTGTGGGTAATTGCCCATTAACCTACCTTTACTGCCTCTGGTAGAGTGTAGGCCTTCCTTGTTCCCTGCATCTTCACTTCCGGATCGCCTTCTTAGTCGAATAGGTACTGCTGGTTCCCTTTAACTTGTCTTTCTTGACTTTTTTCTTCTGCTAACTGCATTAATTTCGCATGCTGGAATCCCTGCCGTCTCTACTTAATAGCTGGAACTTTGAAAAATAAATAATAAATAAATATGTAAAATGTAAACATGACTCTTATGATGGTCAGGAACTGATGGGAAAACAGGTCTGGGAGGGTGCGCCATTACAGGAGTTGAAAAATTGATGTTACTGTAGGAACTCTAGGAAAAACCATGCCCTGGCCAGATCCATGTGAAAGAACTTCTTCACACAGCCATTTCTGTGAACATTTTCCCAATATAGTGTTGTCCTATCAAATTCCTTACTTTCGCCTTGAACATCAAAAAGCGCTGTGCGCAGTGAGGTGAAGGATATTTGGAAAAAGCGAGTGCCGTTGAGTGGAAGGCAAGGTCGAGGAGGTGGCGATGGACCGGATTGAAACTGAGCAGAAGGATGCTATACGGTTTAGAAGTGCTGACGCAACCAGCATATACTAAGTTGATGCATTAAAGACCCGCCGCCGGACCAATACTCTTCACCTTTCAACAACCTTCTGTTCCTCAGGCCTCCTCTATATTTTAGACGCTTCGTGCTATGAGGTCAGAAAGCGGCCCGGGCTCTTTTCAATGTCGGTTCGCGCTTATGCGCTCGGTCAGTGTAATAATTTCGTCAGAACATAGGTTCTTCGTTCTTTTTCTTCTCCCTAGTTGACTCGCCCCGGCCACTCAGGTCCGCTGTTTCCTTTTGGGTCCTTCTCAGTCATCGCCACTTTCAGGTACACTTTCTGCACTTATCCGCGCGACTTCATTACCTTCTATTGCGGAAAACGAAAAGAGCGTACGATTGTAGAATCACATATCACAATTATGCGAACCGCAAGAAGAAGTGGCTTTTTCTTTCCTTTTTTCTTGGCCGTTTGTAACTTGTGGTGGATGTGTGAGTATGCACTTCTAGTTTTTTCGAAGTCGAGGGAGGCCCCTTGATCACGTCTTTCCGCCTTTTGACCCGGTCTGGTTCGCCTGACAGTACAGTAGTAGAGGCCCACAATATCGTAACCCAAATAGAATTGAATTTGGAGCATAAAAGTAAGATCTAAGGCGTTTTTTGTTAGAAGTATAAGTTTAGTTATAGATAAAAATCTCATTCACCGTTACATAGCGCTTAGTTATGCATTGAAATTCAAGTCGCTATAAACATGCATCCTGAAGTACTTACGATATGCAGGCAAATCGGACGCCGGTAGAGGGTGGTAAGAGCGACCTTAATAAGTTGAGCATGATCCAACTATCTGGGCACCCAACAGGAGGCCCGTCGCGCGGCAACAAGGCAAGTCAGCGGAAAAGTCGCACCGCATACTGTAGTGATTTCGCATCAAGTGAGATAGAATGTAGCATTGTACGTCCTAGTCTACACATCACACGCTGCTACTCGTACGCTGACTCTGCTGGCCCCGCGGGTGATTTCGATAGGTGGGAAGCGCTCCAGTGGGCTCCCTACCTATTGTAATCACGTAGCAAATTTCACCTGGTGTTGATCCAAGCTCCCATCCACTGCGACGCTAAATCGAATCAATCGATTCCGAACGCTTTGGGCTGGCAAATCGAATCTATACAGCGAGCTCTGCATTCCTCAGGTGTCAATTGATTTACCTGTCGTGTGACGGCTAAAAGACCTGTCTGATGTCTGATTTGGCGTTGCGCATTCTAAAGGGGATAATCAAACATGAATTCTCTTCTTTTCTTCCCTTCAACTTTTCTGAATCCGCCCAGTTGCTTGATTACGCTGTGAATAGCTTGCTGATACATGCAGTTCTCCCTGTACCTATTGGCGGGAGAAAAGTGGGGGAAAAGATAAAAGGTTCTGGCTCGAGCAAGGTGCTCTACGAGCCTGAACCATTTGCCAGAGATTGTTGGCAAATTTCAAAGCTGGCCCTTTCAAGACTGACGAAACAACCACTACTATGTATAAATCCTGTTCTGGTACACAGCATAGCATATTCGAAAGGACGGACTGGTTCATCCGTTAAGCGAGTTAGGAGGATGTTTAGGCAAATAAAGCTCGACCGCGTGGCGAATATTCGCTACCTTTATTTGTCTAGAAAGGAACACCTCGCTCTCATCCGTTTTCATTTGCAAAATAAACTTCTAATCACGCTCTTCGATTCTGGGGAATCCCTCGTCATTGATCAATCCGTTTCGAGATGCGCCATGCATGCATTGGAGAATTGGCGCTATCGATCATTTGAAGCGCACGATTTCGCTAATGCTGCGACTGCCAGGGGTCAGCCGATTGCAAGTAGAGTTATTTGTCATCCTTATGGCACGTCTTCTGGCCAGGTAAGAGTGTCGGTGGTCTAACTTTTAGAAATTTTGATAATTGTTCAATATTTCCCCCCCCCCCCCCCCCCCCTTTATTCTTCTTTGATTGTGACCTTCGTCCTTGTTCGTGCTCACCTCTCCTTATAGTGTCATTTATTTCTGTAAACAGAAGTTTTGCGGCCTCAATTCAGGATTAATGGCTTGTATCAAGGTCATGTTTGAGCACGGAGTTTTAGCTACAGTATCTTTCGCAGGCATTTACCGTTTTCCTGTGCCCATTTCTAAGTGCGTTCAATACTTATAAGAAATACAACCGATTCTAGAAATGCTCATTCTCCTTGCACTTCTTTTTCCCACCGTTTTGGGAGCAATGAAGCTCGAATGTTTCGAACGAGTCCGCAACCACACTCTGATCGGAGCGGTTGTGGTCCTCTCCTGAGGACGTCAGTCTCAACAGTGCCAAGGCATGCCTGTTGGAAGCGTAAAGAGGAGGGATGAGGTGATAACGCTGGATTCTTCAGGGGAAGCTTTAGAACAATGCATAGAAAGGTCGAGGTGACTAACTATGCTTGCTGCAACTGGGTTCTGATAATAAGCATAGTATGCCTCTTAAATCGTGAATTTTGTTGAGTAACTGGTTTCAAATCAAAGCTATCGGGGCTGGTGACATGAAGCGCGAAGAGTCGCATGCGCGCTCGTGGGTGTGCTTCACAATCGATGCCGGCAGCTAGTAGGTAATAGTGGGGTGATGTTTAAGCAAGTATCATGTTTCTAGGCTTTCGCTGTTGGGGTAGGTCACGAAATTGTAGACGCTGAACTGCTCAATCTTATACCGATGAGGAAATTTTTGCCTTCCAGTTGCATTGCCGCTTCTGGTTAAGGTAATAGCGCCCTCCAGTGCAGGTGGATTACGGATAGAAACCAATTCCGTAATGACTGAACAAATAATTGAAAATAAATAAGAATAAATAATTCGCCCCCTCTTGTGGAGCCCAGACGTTTTTGTAATCGCGTAAATACTAAGTAGAGGAGAGATTATATTTGATGAGTGAATTGCCAAATTCGCGAAAAAGTGTCAAAACCCTGAGATGTCCTGTTCCGATCTTCATTGTATCACTATGCCCGGAAGAGATGTTTTTTGAATTCCGAGGACAAGACAACTCGCGATACTAGCTTTTTCTCGGTTCTCGAGGCTATTGACTATTACCACAGGACGTGCTACAGTTAAGCAGTGTATCCAGGAAGCTCTAATGTCGGTGTCAGACTTTGGACTCCATCGATTCGGTAGGAGCCAGTCCACGGAGTAGCTAGCATCGCCGCAGCTCCACGTCTCGGCGTTTCTGGCAATTCGCTGGATTCGCAACGTCTGACACCGACTAAAGATAGCTTCGCGCGGTGGTTCTATAGACACGACAAGAAGCTATAAGGAGAATTTTTCAGACAAACCAAGCAAAGCCGGGAAAACAAGCGTGTCAGTGCAGCGTGACTCGGTGTTCGATGATAAATGCTATGAAACTATCAAAGGAAAGGTTTGATACAATTCCTTCATCGTCTTGTGAGCGTGCTTTGGGTGGAAGAAAAAAGAACAAAGCATTGCTTTATTTTACGCATTTTACTTACAATGAGAATTGTAGTGACATTTTGATTGTATATTGCGACTTGAGGGGGCCAGCCGATGTGCAATTCCCAGCTTTTATCCTACCGGATAGGCTTGGTACCAACTGAACGACCTCCCATAAAAGGAGTTTCTAGTTGAATATTTAATGTTTGGATATTTTGCAGGTTCTGGTCGGCATCGTCGATCAGCTGATCCAGGGTGTCGCCACTCAGGCTGAATGCCTCAAAGCGATGCCAGAAAAGCAAAGATGCCAGCGACATCGTCTGCAAAAGTGCTATTTATTACGAGAAAGAAAAGGTTAGTATGACAAAGTTGACTGTGAAGGGAATACTGACGCACCTTCAAGTTTGTACAGTAACTAGCGAGAAGTGGCCACGAGCACAAGAGGTCCGAGATTTCTTGTTACCCCACTTCTGCCTACTTAAGAATTGGTGAGAGAATAAGTGGCGCACGCTGAATTTGATTCATGGGCCACGCGGGTCGTTCATGGGTCGTTGTTTCGCTTTCTGACACTTTTTGCCCCTCCTACCCCAGTTTGCCTTTTCGAGGGTGGGAAGGAGAAAGCACTCGGCGTTAGTGAATCTTGTTTCTGGGTACACCATGCGTTATGCTTCAATTCTGAATCGTGGTACCATTTGACGGCATATTGTCTACACACTGGCTTGGAGAACCAGCCGGTGTACAGGGAAGTACTTTTACCCTACTGAACCAGTCATCAACTGGATCACCTCGGGTTGATGAGCGGTCTGTTGGCCCGGGAGGTTTTTGATCTAGGAGCATGAAGAGCAGAATCACATGCCATTACATCATTTTCGTCCAATTATGGACCCACAACTACATATGGACCTCGATTATTTCAGGAGTGCATCATCGCCTCCCAATCACGTGTGGATATCCCAGATTTGTTCATTGAAGACGATCAGGCTGTGTACATGGAGAACACCTGTCTCAATGACAGCGGTACCTAGCATGAAGAAGCTCCAGGTGGGAGTTGAACAACTATAGTAGATTTGAGACTTGGACCACTTTTTGGTCACCTGCTCTGAACTCCTAAAAAAAGGTCCGTGCTTTACAAAAGTGTCTGGTTCCGCTTAAACAGCGACTGCTTGCTTCCTAATGAGATGCTTCAAGTCCAACACGATTCTGCAGGCTATGCACTTTAATCGTTTAGCGCTACACTTTCCAGGCTTCATTTATTTGATTTTTCGGTTTTGTCACTCACTTTATTTTGGTTAGTACTATACAGTCGATATCCGAAAGTTGGGGTGGGTGTGTCACCGGAAGTGACGTGCACTTGATAGAAGTGCGTGGATAAGCTGTTGCCAGCATGCTTTGCTGATAGCCAGCGATGTATGTTGGAAGCAGCTTATCCACATAGTTTCTATCAAGTGCACGTCACTTCCGGTGACACGCCCACCCCAACTCGATATCGAGTATATAACGAATTTGGCTGTTCGTCTGTTGTTTTTTCCGCTAACACTTGTATTGAACTAACACCACTCTTCTGTCCCGCTGTAGCGCAGCCCTGAGTGCACAAATAAATAAATAATTAAATAAATAAATAAATACTGAGCTCAATGCATTTGCTACAAATTATTCAACTCTGGGTAGTTTACAAATACTGGCTAAAAGATGAACAGATACCGAAGAAGGAAGAGGAGAGCAACTCCAAAACCACCCGGAATCCTTGAAAGAAGGTGCGCCGATCGTGTGGGCAGAGATCGATGCAGCTCTGCGCCCTCTCATTGGTCGATGCACCGTATTGATCATTATGTCGGGCGTTGTTTTGCTTTCTTCATCCCTGATCAACCGTATCCACTATTACTTTGAGCGCAATGACCTACTCGGAGTCCAATCACTCCAATCACGGAATGCGGAACTATCTTAAAACTCATTAGTCCGCTATGTGTGTTGTTTTCCAGGCGTGTTTCGGCAAACGCTTATGATCGAGGTGAAGTCCGGGAAATGCTGCAAAAACAGAAGGAACAACGACAGAGGTGAGTATGGATGCATTGCCAACACTCCGCATCACTTTCTTGCAGGAAAGGTAATAAAAACGTTGAGCTGTTGCTCCTTTACCTCATTAAGTCGCCCCAGAGAGCGATAGTGTTTTCGATCAAATGTTATTCAGCTGCATTTAGTAGGCCACCAAGGCCTCTAGCCAGTCCTTGGTTGTGCACATCGTATATATCTTGGCTAAAAGGGAAGAGAGCATTTGTATTTCAGAACTAGGGTCGCAAAACACTTGCTGCGGGAATAGGACGGCATGGCTTCAACCTCTGCAGAGCCTACCATATTAGAACTTAGAAGCACAGTGCGCGACCATAATTGTGGCTCTTGCACAAAAATGGAATAAGTTATACTGTTGAAAAAGACTACTAAAGACGGAAAATCGCAAAAAAAAGCTCCACTATCACTAAAAGCACCACTTGGTCGAGTTGTTTAATTCTTTTGTTCAAGAGCCGTTAATAGCTGGAACCAGGTATTGGATCCCGACGTTGACTTTTTTCTCTCTTCAGAGCGCGAAGATAGCCTCGAAGCTTCCTATTTAGTAAAACGGACCAAGCCTCTTTCCCCCCATCCCCCTCCCCTTAAGCGATTCGACATACGTTTGAGAAGCACTCCGGAATCACCCTATAGGACAACTATCACCCTCGCTTGGCGCAGAAGAATTGAACAGTTTGACCACTATTGCCGAAGTTCTAGCAAACTTGAAGATTGAAAGCATCATTTTCTGTGATTTTGCGAGTTGCTTACGGTGAGAGACACAGCGTGCAGGAGAGAGCACAACGAGTGAACCCACAGCGTGTGAACGAGACGCAGACACACCGATTGTGGTAGGGTGTAGGGGGGTCGCAGAGCAGCAGCAATGAGCTTAGGCGGCATTAGAAGGCGTCTAATGTGTTTAGTACCTGCCATTCGACAACTACCTCGTTCAGGTTTTAAATTTAGTTCTGATTATATGTTGTCACCCCAAAAAGTGACGATTGGGTGTTATTCAAGTCCAGCTTTTTTTTACCATAGTAAATGAAATTACCTTCTACTTTACTCAATAAAGTCATCTCCTTGTTTAGGCCCAAAAAAGGTCTCGCATATGCTTACAGATCACTCTCCGGCTTCAAGTAAAAGACTATTGAGTACTCAGATGCTCGATCGGCAGAAAGTTTTGGGCACCTTAGCTCAGTTTGTTGGGAAAAGTGAGTGCTGCTCTATTGCATAACATTTTCTCAGGAAACCACCACATCGAAGCGCTTGGAAAGCACCACGTCGTCATCGCTCCGCGACTTTTCAGCCCCGGCTCCGGCTAGAGCAGCTCAAGAGACAAGAAAAGCGGTAAGCCTCGGCTAAACCCTGATGGTCGCTTTTACGTGGTTGCGCTCTTACGTCTTTCTTTACAGCGCTATGTAAAGTGGGTGTGGACAGTTAGAACTGTCGTATATATGCCCCGTCCGATATGGTAGCGGACCACAGTATTTTTCGATGTGGTAACGACCCATGCAACCACCACGCCATCTACGACGGAAAAGCCTACGACGACTATAAATGCGAAGGTATCGGTGTCGTTGCTAGCTGAATAAATTAGTTTACCGGTAACTGATAATCGTTTCAGGTAATCGATACGTATGGTGAAGATGCGGCTGTGAAGAAGGCTTCTGTAGATGCTGGATACGGTAAACGATTACGAGACTCCAGGGTCAAGGAATGCTTCAAGTACTTTCGTGCGAAACCGCCAGAACTCTTTGCTCTGTTTCTAACCATTATGGAAACCTTCTCTAAAAAAGCACCTGGAACGGGGTCGCGAAACCACATTGGGATGCCTTACCACTGTTGGTCCTGAAACTTCCCGAAGGCATCACTCTGCCACATTAGCTTCTAATCCCTGAATCCGCCCCTAAAAGTAAGGAGTGGTGCCGATGGGGACTAAAGCTGTCAGCTCGCCTCGGTCTCTATCTCTGTTCCCTTCAACTGTTAGTCTTCCTCTGGGCGATAGTATTCTCGCTCCTGCAAGCACACACCAATGCCGACCTCAAAAGAGCGATTTTCAGATTACTTTTTTCCACTGTGGAACCACCCCCATTACCCACGTTCTGATATCGAGGAATGTGCCTTTAAGTCCCCCTTCTGCAGTTCTTCCGTCCTGGTTCGTGTATTGTAATCTACCACTCGCTTTCCGTAATTTGTGGGGCATCCATAATAGTGTTTTTTAAATCGTATTTTTGCTTGGATTATTGATTCGTCAAAGGTTTTCACATTGCCATAACTCTGTTTCTCTGACCCCTTTCCTGCGTCTCTGTAATCCGTCCATGTCCAATCGATAATCCTATTTCAGTGAGGTACGTCCACTTCGTCCAATGGAAGAAAGCCGAATCACCAAAGCGTATTCGCTGGAGCAGTGCACGGATATTTGCCGACTCTGTTGGCGATGTCTCCATGGCAAAAAATGCCTCGGGGTTGCCTTCGACATGTTGGTTGTTTTCTTTGTTCCTTCTGAACGTCAGCTGTTCTTTTATTATATACTTCAAATTATTTTTCCCTTCATTTCATAACGGTGGCCCCTCCAAAGTCCGCCTCCAACAATATCCGAGACATCATCGGGCCCAGGCTTTGTGGGGTGAAATTTTGAGCAATAAAGGTGGAGGGTCGAAAAAATGGGCTGTGCCGACCTCACGGTACGAAATTGCCACGCAGACTCGCTAAGGCCTAAGTATGCGAGCGGGGGTACCCCGACAGGAGGCCCGTCGCGCGGCAAGAAGGCAGAGTCGGCGGACGAGTTGCAGCGCGTGATGTGCGATGTAGGACGTGCAATGGGACATTCTATTTAACTTGACGCGAAATCCCTACAGTACGCGCGCGCAACTCGTCCGCTGACTCTGCCTTCTTGCCGCGCGACGGGCCTCCTGGGGGTACCCATGCGAGCGGAGCTCCACCCACACCCGGGGTACGTCCCAAAATTGTCATCGTAGGCCTGATCTACTCTCGCTTCATCCATGCTCACTCGTCTCCGATTCATTTCCCTACCCGCGGCGTCCAGTACCTCTTACTTCTGTGTCTGTCTATTGTAACCTTCCGCAGTCTAGGGAAAGGTGCTTGTATTCTTAGGGTTTTTTTTGGTAACTCCTTTCCTTTTCTTCAATATTGTGCAATCCCAACCCGAACTCTTCATTGTGACAGGACAATAACCAATCACTTGACCCTCGCATAGGACGTTAAGCTTTTACTTCTTGCGTCGTCACCTTGGTTAATCTCAACGGATTGGGCATGTGTTCTAATTAAATCTTACTCGAAGCAGCACCCCCAGATTAAGTTTTTGGCGTCTCAGCAGCTAGTAGGGTTGTGGATGGTGAGCTGACTAAAAATGAACAACGAGACAAGAAGAAAATCGTTGATTAAGCCTAACAAGTGTGTCCTCTGGTACCCATTTGACATGAAGAAAGGGCGGGAACAGACGAGTGTTCGAAACTAGCCTCGGTCTACGGCCATATGCTATACGAAGTTATGTAATAGCCACTACACCGTAATTTTGAACAGTTGGGCGTTGTGAAGGGGGACAATAATCTTACGTCATACATCCCTACCTACCGTAACTTTCACAGAAGCCACTTTGGTACCCCTCTATCTATTAACTTTTCAGAAGTCGTGAACTGTGTGCATTGTCGTCGAGTCACATTGTCGACGGCGGCAACATGCAAGACCTTGAACGCCATTGTTTACCACAACAGGAACGATTGTTGATTCTTAAGCGCATATAACATCATTTGTGACGTCTCACTTCACCTCTGAGTTTCTCGTGATAATCTTGAACACTATTGAGCGCCAGTTCTGATTGTATACTGATTGTTTTACTACGGATACAATATTTTACATAGCAACTAAACCACCGATGACTGTAGAAAATTCCCTGAGACTCGAAAGTCTCGCAAAACTCGATTATCAATCAAAAAATGTTGAGGAAAAATCGCAACAAAAGTTCGACGAGGGAACAGGAACAAATTTTTTCGCTAAAGCAACAGTTCAGGAACGGTTTCGCGGGAAAAAACCACCAATAATGAAGTTGTAGATGAAAACCAGACGATTAATGTATGAAAAACTGGAAAAAAACGTCGGGGAGGGTCTTAGACAGGTACTCTCCCTCTGCCGCTCAGCAATGGATAAAGACGCACGTTGGACGAGTTGTCTGAACGTGCCCGCTGTAAACGCGCTCCATTTTTCAATCAATTTTCCCTGTGGTCCCAAAACGAGCACGATTGCCGACGCGTCCAATGACGGCCGGCAAGGGGGCGGGATTGGGGAAATCCCCAAGAACACCCATGTTTGAGGGACTTTCCACCCTGTTTTTGAGTTTCTGAGGTAAGTTCGTTTATTATTTCCACTGCATATGTTCTTCACTAGGGCTCGTGTATCCCTCAGTAGTAGTGGCATTGAAATTTTCGGACCCTCCCTGAACTGTTGCTTTAAGCAGACGAGCCCTTAGATGCACTTCATCAAATAGTGAAACAACCAGGAAAAAAGATGTCAAAGCAGTGTGCAATTGTGACCATTTGATTGACCATTGGATTGATCGGAAATCTATTTCGCTTCCAGGACAGTCCATGAACCGGGGAAAACTGGGTGCAGGTGAACAGCGTAGTACAGATGAGATCCACCCACTTTGGGGCCGGTTTCTCCAATAGGCTGTGCTCACAATTTCATAAATAAGCTCTAATAATGACAAGCTAGAATGCATGAAATCGCTTGAGGTGAGCGAGAAACAGTGGAGAAGGATAGATGAACAGCGACAAACTATTCTGAGTAAAAGTGAAGGGGTGGGGTCCACCCACGTCGAGCGGGGCGTGCCCTCCATGGTTGCAACACTTATAAAAAATTTGTAATTCTGTCTTGATAAGCCTATGAGACCGGGAAAAATCAAAAGGAGCTAGCTACGGAGTGAATCCCAAAACCCAGAGTAGGCAGGGCGTGCACTGATGTGGGCGGAGCTAAAATTGAAAAGTCGCAGGGGGTTTCGATACAGCTCAGGGGCCGAGAGACATGAATAGATTCTAGCGACTTATGGGAGGTCAGATACGCATGAAAGTGCGAAATCAGAGTGGTAGCAGAAAACGCGGAAAAGTAAATATATTAAGTTGTGGCGTAGATTTTACCTGGGCAATAAGAAAGAGCGCCGCTGACAGGTCGTTAATGCGGTTGTCACACACCAAGGATCAAAATTAGGGTAGAATCTCTATCTTACCAACCAAAAGTTTTATACCCCTGGGCCGGTTGACGCATCTAATATGCGGCTTATGCTCGCCCTTCATTAGTTTCGTTCTATTTTCTAGCCTACTTCAAAGCCGATTGTTAAGTAAGCAATATCTAATGTAAGAAGCGCCGCCCACTCGGAAGAAGCCCCGCCTATTGAAAAAATCTCCACTTCAGTTCGCCTGCGCGCTGCCGACCTAAGGTCATTTGTCCCAAACTCGGAATTTTCGTCTCCTACACTGTTCACTTCGCGACTTTCCGCGGCCGAAATCCCACCCAGCCTTAAAACTGGGCCGGGTCCTTTAGTACAACTGCAAACTCCGTGACACACACACAGATGCATGGCGTCTATACGCAGTAGAAGTAATGGTGGTGTCCCTTCACTCCACGAAAACCCCTTGTCGGGTTGTACACAACCCTAGTACATATAAACGTGCGCTTACAGTCACTGCGCAATTTTGCTGCCCGAAAGTCTGTTCTATCAGTTTCCTACTTGGTTTCCTACTTGCTTGTGGTTTAGTACGGTTCAAAGAAATACCTGAAGTTGCAATATTTATATATACAGGGGGGGCCAAAAAAAAAGACATTTTGCCTCCACTTCCAGATGGATTTAAGCACATTTTACTCAACTCAGACCGAACGGTTCCAACTTATTATTAAAGAGTGCATTCCATTCTATAAGAAAATCTTCATAGTGGCCACCTACGTGGACGGCATCAGAAGAATTTGCCCTGGAAACATGGTGCACTGGTCGAGCTCAATGGGGTCTTCGAAGGATCGTGTACCATAACGACCCTTACTGGAAAGCTAGTTTCGAGGGGATTTGCACAGTGGTAGCTAATGCCTCTAGAAAACTATCCAACATTAAATCGATTCACGAAATTGCGTAAGAGCTTCAGGCTGAAGCTCTTACGGTAGACCTCCTTGAGCCTGACGACGGTGACAGATGACGTCATATTCTGAAGACGGTGAGGGCAGTGAAGGAGGGCCTGCGTTCACTTATAGAGGACACTTAGGGAATACTCTGCTGAGGAACTCCCGTCAACGACAGCAATCTCTGCGAAGAAAAAAGAGCCGAAGTCCGACATAGGCAAAATGTCTTTTTTTTTTGGCCCCCCTGTATATGTACAAGAGATCCGTGATATCGTGAATCAGACTTGATTGAGTGTGAGAGCTGCTCATCCGACAAGAAACGATATAACGTTCCCAACGAGGCCACCGCCAATCGCCCACGGTGACCCTGTGCCGACAGGGTTGGTGTAGCCATACGGATAACCGCCATACGAATAACTGCCATACGGATAACCGCCATAGTACTGAAAGAGGCTTTCATTCGAACAAACTGTATTGGTGCTGAAAATGAAGTCAGTAGAAGTTTTTCGGATGGTTATTGAGTAGGTCTTGCCGTATAACCAAACGCAGCACACATGGTTATGTACCTATTAGGTGTGCGGCCGAAAGTCACTGCGCGACGTCGCGTCGCGGGGCTCAAATATTGCGTCTGATTGGAGTATTGCGAAAAAGAAAACCAATTAAGGCGGCAAAATTTGAATTGCAAGCGGCGCGACATCGCGACGTGACTCCCCGCTATTATGACTCCTAACAACATCACGTTACTATACAGTTAGCGTAGAACTGCATTTGTTAAAGTGGCCCTTGTACACGAATGTGAATGTACTGGTGGGAAGTGGGCCGGCAGTAAAGAAAAAAGGAAAAGAATCCGTCAAAAACGCTTAGGTTAAGGGCTCACTCACCTTCCTAATCGGCTGTGCTAAGGGAATGAGAGACTAAGCGCGGGAGGAGAGTATGGGGCGAGAGAGCGCTACAGGCAGGTGAGAGATCGCCAGACAACAACAGCCTGATAAGAAAAAAGTCTGCAGCTTGGGCAGCTTACTTTGCAAGGCCCAAGCGCTCTTATCGGTTGGTTTCCGTGCACGAGAACGCCACATTTGTGATTGTCCTCTAGGGGTCTATACTACAGACCGAAGAGAAGCGTTCACACGACCTCTGCCTGGGTTGTGCCTTTAAAAGATTCAGACATTGATTTTTATAGAAGATTGGTTGATTTTTTTTTATTTTTGGGTTTGCTAGTGTTTATAAATTTAACAAGCCAATACAGGTGCCGCTTAAAACGAAGTAATTCAGCTATTATTCCAAGTAATAAGATTGGAGAGGAGCTATAAGAGATGTTTATACAGGGTGAAATGTGAGTGCACTATCCGGCACGAGATTTTCAGATAGTGAAAGAACCCCACCCCAATTACAGTTACCCTAACTAAGGAACGCCTTTAGAGACTTGGCCCACTTCGGAAAGGGTTGGATTTTGACCATGATATACAGAGCGCACATGAGAAACTCGGCGCAGTAGCGAAGTGAGCAGAAGGCAAAACTTCCTAGTTCGGTTCTGCGACAAAATCAGAGGACAAATGACTGGAGGTTGGCAGCGCGTAGGCGAGTTGAACGAAGACGATCTTTCTCAGTGGGCGGGGCTTTCTCCGGGTGGGCGTTGCTTCCCGCAATAGATACTGCTTTGAAGCAGACTAGAAAATGATAGGAACTGAGGAAAAAACAGGCAGCATGTTTTGCACCTTACCGGATCCAGAAGACGGAAATTTTGGGTGCTCTAATAGAGATTCCACGCGAAATTTGATCCCTGGTACATGCGCACTGTAATGGCGCTCTTTAGTTGCCCGCTTTCAATCTAAAACACAATGAGCATGTCCCTTTTTCCGCGTTTTATTCTCAGTGTGACTTAGTCCCTTCGAAGAACATCTGACCTCCCATACACCGCTAACCTCCATCTATTTTTCCCGGCATCTAAGCTATCTCCTAACCTCACTGCGACGTTTCAACCCTAGCTCCGCCCACTTCGGTGCACGCCCCGCCCGCTTTGAGCACTGACACTCACTTCGTAGCCAGCCTCTGTCAATTTTTTCTCGGTCTCATGGGCTTACTACAATGGATTGTGAAATTCTTGTAAGTCGCAACCGTGGAGTGCACATCCCGCTCATTATGGGAGGGTCTTCACAATCCGGTTCCGCTCAGTTTTGCTTGTTGCTCATCTCCAGCAATTTCCTGCCCGTCCTAGTGTTAGGGCCTATTCATGAGAGCGTAAGCACAGCCTACTCGGAGAACATTGTGCCCAAAGTAGATGGATCATATTTGCCACTGCGCTGTTCACCTGTACTCAGTTTTTTTATCGGTATGGGTTGTGAATTCATTCATTCACCTAGAGGTGCGATGTCGGCCTGGTAGAACAAGGAGAAGTGATTGTACCCAGATGTGGTATGGGTTGAACGCGGGCAGTACACCACTGCTGCGCGCATATACCAGGCATTCATTCAGAGAGACTCTTTCAGAACAACCAAAACTACCTTACGAGGGGGCAATTGATGTACATACCTTATGACTTACTGCCCATTTTATCTCTTTAGGATTACTGCTCATCTCCGCCATGTTTATCTCTTTTCCAGCTACTTCAGGGCCAGGGTCAACCGTTACGTTGGACCGATATTGGAGCGACGTTGGACCGATGTTCACCGCTCTCCGCGCCGGCATTCACTCTCGCCACCCGCGAGCCGTCTGTGTCTCCGTGCGTACGTTCACTCTCGGCATTACTCTCGTCGTCGCGTTGGACTTTGTCCAACGGACGGTTGACCCTGCTTCAGGGCCGAGTCAGTCAACAGTGGATGTTTGGTTGGTGTGCACCGCCCAAGTGGAGGAAGCTCCGCCCATCAAAAACGATCTTCTCATTTAATTCGCAGCTAATCGTCAGGATGACGGCAATTTTTGTGGCATGCACAGATGCATGGCGCTTCCTACATTAATATTTCTCCCAGTATAGACCTGCTCTTTATAGCCTCTCTGCAGTCTTTTGCTTTTATAATCAGCTGATTATAGGTTTATTATGTTGAAAATATTGAATAATTCATTACAATTGACACCTGAGATTGCAATATGTATAGTACATATTTACAAGAGAATGGCAGTAAAATTGGCTCGATTGAATGGAAGAGGTTCCTATCCGACAAGAAATGATAGGGTGTTTCCAACGAGACCACCGCCAAGTGCCCACGGTGACCCGGTGCCGACAGGCCCGTTGTTAGTAACATGTATGGAGAGCCAGTAGGATACTGAAGTGATTTCCGTTTGAAATCGGCGTTGTTGCGGTGCGGAAATGGTGTCAGTTGAGCTTTTCGGACAGTGTTAATTGGAAGTCGCAACCGTATAAACACACCCAACAACACAATGGTACTGGGGTGGTGCCAAGCCGACAGTCACTGCCCGCGACGTCGCGTCGCGGAGCTCTAATGTTGTGTCTAACTGGAGTATTGCGTGTTCTGCATGTGCTATGCTCTGCGCAATCAATAGTGTACATACGTGCACAATATACGAGTGCACAGATGCACAGAACACGCAATACCCAGCGAGGCGGGGAAATTCGAACTGCAAGAGGCGCGACGTCCAGTCGCGACCAACCCTACGTACCTACCTGGCTAACAAACAGCATTTGCTGTCAGATGTACAGTCAGTTTGCACAAGAAAATATCAGTGTTTATAGTTAGTAATTAGTTAGTGCCGATGATGAAAATGATGAGATGCGTTTTTTTTATGTTATAGTGTTTGCTTACCAAGTCTGACCACACAATCACGGGACCTACTGTCGGTTCAACATCGTCGAGCAAACGCACTTCCATAGGATTTTCGTCGATAAACTCTTTTGTTTTCGGGACACTCAACGAGGGCCGCATCTTAAACGGGCTACGCATAATTAATGCATTTCAAAATAATAGACCAAGTAATACAAAGATTATCGTAAGAGATTTTTATGAGCCAAACCATCCCCTACCCGGTGTTTGAATCGATGCCTATTGCTTCTCAATCAATTACTCATCAATGACAGTTTGTACACCCACGCGTTCGCTGGTTGTTCTCTAGAAGCTTCTAGGAAACGTTTTGAGTCATCTAGGGGATGTCCGAGGATTTCCCTTCATCAAGCTTGCCAGAGAAATTCGGAGCTGTCAACTTTTCTGAACCTTCCAGTGCAGTCGTTCAGAGAAGTATTATACCCTGGAAGACTGAATTGATGGGTGCGTGACGATTCAATCGTGGCGATGGCTAGGTCGCCGCGCCAGCCGCCGCAGCCCGCGATGCGACGTCGGCCGTGGCTAGAATTCAGGGTTCTAGCATTGGGGAATGTAGGATTAGATGAAGTTTCCAGTCGTGAAACACGGTATATGATCACCTGCTCCTTAATACAGGTTCCCTGTCCCTTGCCATTATTTACAAACTTATTCTGCCATATTAATGTTATTGCCTTCCTCACCGTTCCACTGCGTTTCTAGGAAATATTTTTCCGATTGAGCCAGATTATCGCTCTCTGATAACAGTTCAGGCAGTTGATTAATATAAGAGAAGTCAAATTATGTTCAAAAGGACAACCTTTACATGGCACAAGCTCTGTACAGTGAGGCTTAAATAACTGCGGAGATCTTAGGTGACTCTTGTTGGCTCACTGATGTCTGGAACTTTGGTCTTATCAGTTCTCTAACCCCACCAGCAACTTATGGACAAGGACCGTTAAGCCAAGGCCCATACAAAAATCGCCGCACCATTGCCGCGCGCGACGCTGCCCGCCGCGTGAGCGGCGTGACCTCATTAGCCGACGATTGAATTGACCGTCTCCCTATGTGGCAAATGAGAGCCCGGAAATCGAATCTTGGAAGTCCTTTCATTGGGTCGAATTCCAAGGAATTGCTGTGCTCCTGGCGAAAAATTCGGAAGCCTGCCACATTCTGATCGTGCTTCAGGGGACTTCAAACCCTAAGTGGTTTCATACAAGCTTCTTTAGAAAGCTTGTATATCGCCTGATTACGATGCGAAAAGCTAATATTCATGGGATTGACTGAGCGAACCAGCCAGCTTTTGCCACCCCGTCTTACTCGGCTTAGTATTTTAATCCCATAATATGTTGGGGGATGAACGTCATGATAAAACATCTTCTCCAGTTTCGTCATCACTCCCGAATGGAACTCGGATCCAGCTCTTCGAGGCAGACTGGGCTGCGGTATATTCCTTATGAGCCCCTTCAACAAAATAACTCCTTTTTCAAAGCATACGAGGCGGACGCCAATCCACCTACTCAAGCAGAAGGAATCGAAGAGTAGTTTCTGTTGACCACCAAGGCCGGGCTTCACCATGACTTACTTCGACATCTTGAGACGCTGGCAGCTAGCGTCTCCCTCTCTTCCCAATTAAGAGAAGCTTATAAAATCCGTCTAACTATCATCCGGAGGAGGTCCGCCGTCCTTATAGTAGTTCGTCCTCATGCGGAAAATTGGAACCGTTTCAAGAGATTCCTTGAGCCTCAACTGGGCAGCTGCCTTCCCTACCCATCCAAATTTGCTTCCGACATTATTACCAGATTTAAAAAACAAAAAAAAAAAATTTGTGGCACCTCGAGTGAAAAACCACTCCTGTCAACGATGTTGATTTAAAAAATTGTTATTCGGACACTCACACCTGCTCGGAAGCGCCTTCGGGTTCTGTCCCAACAATATCATCGAGTTACTTATTGCTTTCCAAAGCTTTTTTTGAACCACTCAGGTCGGAAAATTTAGGAGAAGAAATCAAACTTGGGGAGTAAATGTTGTCGAAACAACACAAACCGATCAATGACACCTTGGATGAATACTCTGATATAAATCACAAGGTTGGAAATAGAGCTGGTTGGAGGGAGGGGTAGAGCTAAGCGATATCGTTGCAATGAGGGATATAAGCTGTTGATGATGACCTAATTTTGTGAAACTACTTACTGATACGGGTGATAAGGTGTCAAAAATCTGATCTAAGGTTAACCAGATATATTCATATCTTTCGGCTGTGATGCAGTAGTCCATCACGAGCTCCTCTACTTGACCACATCTTTACCTATTACCCCTACACCTCAGTAGGTATATCCGGCCCTCGACTCAGGATCGTTCTCCGCTCCATGAGGTCCGATTGAGCCGGTCCCTATCAAATGGCCACTTCAAGCGTAACTTCAGGGCTTTATGTCTATAATGTTATCATAACCCCTATATGAATCCTTAGCTTCAGAGACGCAGAGAACAATGGAGTAGCCCCCTCCCCAATTCCATTATCAAATCCCGATTGACAGTTCCTTTTTGTAAAACGCGAATGCGTGGTAAAAACCTTTGAAAAATTAGCAGAGTTGTAAGAAAAGCGAAGAAACCAACCGGATCTTCATAGTAGGGAGGTGGGTAGGCAGGTGGAATGTAGTTACCTGAAAGTGCGAGCTCATTATGCATAGTATTCAGGCCATATACGAATACGGTAACCAGTTGGTATGTTTACAAAATGGGACAAAATCATAAGTGAAACATCCTCTGGTCGAATCCATTTGAAAACCGAAAATCTGTCCTATAGTTGTGGCTGAGGAAGAAAAAACTTCCATAGTTTAATAAGGTGCACAGAAGGCTAATAAGGGGAATACAATCAATAGAATTAGTCGAAGCATCTGTAAAAAAGGATTACTATAACTGCTAGCTATTTGATATAATGAATGATTAGAGACACACAATTGAACGAGTCAACTACGCTCAAAGCAACGAGAGTGAGGGGGTGCGATAGAAAAATATCGTAATGATCGGAAGGTAGATGGCATATATTTATCTTCGGAATAAACAAGTAATGGTAAAGGACTGAGTTCTTGTCCTAGGGCTCCCTTATGCCTTTCGGTCGTATAACTTTGGGTTATTTAACAACCGCAACTGAGAAGACGAAACCATGGTGTGGATTTTTGTTCTCTCATTCAGAGAAGAACGTTTATTCATTTGGGTGATTATTTGATGCATGGGACGGAGGTGGTGCAGTGGTAATGGCACCCACACGTACGGTCTGCTGGAGAAATCTCGTGCAGAATCTCATCAAGCCCGGCCGAGACTTTCAGCCCTCTAGGGTCGGTCAACTGGTACTAGTCTGGTTTTAGAGATAATTAATCAGCTGGTTTCCAAGCCTCGGTATACGAATTTGAATGGAAGGGGATAGACGAGTAATCCGAAAAGATGATCCAGCGCCTGAAGCGGCTGGCTCATTCCTCTAGGGGGGGGGGGGGGCGGGAGGAAGTGAAAAACCGCTTGTAGGTAACACTAGAGATAAACACAGGAGAGTGGGAAAACGTGAGGATAACAACAGCTCTGCCACAGGCCTCTGCTAGAACCCTTCCCTACCTTAAGCGTATTGTTTGGGTCCCGGGTTCTGTGAGTGGCTCACTTCACTTTAAATGTCGCCCTACATCATGAAAACCCCCGGAAGTTACCCCGTTCAGCATTTGTTGAGCGTTTCTGACTTCACGTAGACGCGTTAGGTTCGTATCTTTCAAGCCAGTTTTGGGTAGAAAACACCAATCGAATGTGTGTCACGGTACATATGAAGGTGAAAAAAAGCAACTCTAAGTAGGCCAGAAATTGGAACCACCTTTGGCAGAACGCGAGCGAATGGCGAAATAGCGATTAGTTTTCGAAATCTCGTAAGGATGTGGAAGTGCGGTCACTCTCAGGTAAGCACGTAGCCTAATGTGGAAGAGTGTACTGGTGTGATGGTAATCTCATGAATTTAGGCTTTCCCTTTCTCTAACTGTTCGATTTTTCACCCGCCCGAGCATTAACAATAAAACGAAGTGGGTGCTAACCGTGGGGGGGACACGCGACGGTCCGATGGCGCTTTCTGCGTCTGCCGCCTCTGAAGTTTAGTACCCAAAGGGCAGTAACTTGATCAGCGGACCTAAGGCCCTGGAAACGAACGGAGCCCGCGCCGCCGCGCGTTTATAAACATCTTAAAAGCAAGCTGGGTAACCTGCACGGAAGATCTTTCGGTTTCCATACAAAATGTCGGCGCAAGTCAAGTCCGAAGAGAGGGGAATGATTGGCGAAGGCGGGTAAAAATTGGACCCCATTAAGGTCATAACTTCTGAAGGAGTACGGTAAAGAAGTAGGACTATGATAAGGACTAAGATTACATAGAAGGATTCAAATTCCATTGTTATGCTGACTGGGAACGAGAGAAGGAACCAGACAAAATTGTCCCAGTTCGACAGAGAGCTCAGGAAGGTCTCAGAGGGGAAACCAGAGAGCAATTATTGCTGTAAAGCACCCAATGGGGCACGTTAGAGTTCAAGTGTGCAGTGATCAGCGAATCGGCTCGTTAAATAGCCTTTTGTAAGGTCATCCGCCTTGTTTGACAGTCACCCGAATGCTACCTATGAGAAACTCGTAAACATTTCGATGGTACGAGGGATGATGCAGCCGAGCGAAACCGGTCGTAATGCCACTAAACACCACGAAAATATAAACACTCGTGATTCAAGGAATCGTGCAGAGGCGAAACAACACACAGCAATCGCTCAATATCTATCGGTTTTCAAACTGAATAAGGAGAAAAAAGAAGGAGAGTCGAATAGCGGACTTATTTGTGGGGAGGTTTGAGAGGTTAAAAGGCCTTTCCTTGGGTCTGGTTGGTCCTGGATAGGTCGAATCGATGGATGAGCACGTAGTAGTTCTTCAATTTCAGACAGTCTTTGGCAAATAGGATCATTAATGCGCCTGGTTTTGATTGACAGGCGCACTTTCACCCCTGTTTTATTGTATTGGCTACAACGAACGGACGAGATCGTAACGATCATGGGGTGTAGGAACGTTGGTATAAGCGTCAACCGTCTTTTCAACTTTTCAACCGGGTTGGGGGGTGGCATTGCGATCTGGAGGAGGTTTATTAGGATTTGGCAAGTATCAAACAAATCTCTCAAAAAACGTTGCCGGACGGTTCGGTTCGCATTCATGGGGTGAGAGGGCTTGCTGGCAGTGGTCGAGGGGGCATTGTCCCCGACTGATTTTTGGGGGATCAGACGTAAGAAGTACGAAATGGATGAAAATCGCGAGGATTCGCCTGTTATGAGATATTCAGGCACCCTCCCCCCTGTGTTCCCCCCTCCCCCCCCCTCCCTACCGTTTCTCGAGAGGCAAGATGGCGCGAGTTGGAGCATATTGTTGGGCCTTAATGAAGTCAAATACAATATGGATATAGCAAACGGCCTGTGGTGTAAGGTTCGGTTGTTAAGTGTGTTGAGAAGGGTGATGGTGGTAAAGGGTCGTTCCGAGAACCCCTTGGGAGGAGGAATGCGACACTTTTGGAGAAGGTGATCTCGACGCTGATTCTGTTTGGAAATTTCCAGGCTCATAACATAAGCCATATTGTTTTGGTGAGCGCCATGAACATGTTCACTATGGATTAAATCGGATGGATTGGAACTCTAATAGGTCGCATGGGCAACATTGCCGACGACTGCAGACAGCAACAGGGCAAAATGCAACTGGTTGAATTGATGTAATATTTATTATTGCCAAGTGTAGAGCTCATAGAACAATTACACAAATATACATTCGAATAGGAGACGAAACTTTACTTCCAAGGCCATAAATTGATTGTAATCTCTTGCAAGTGTCACATAGGTAACTAACCTAGTAATTGTTTGGATCTTGTCGCTTATTGAATAATAGAGCATCTGGAGAGGCGGTATTGAATTGCGTCGCCCATTCTCTTTAGAACAATGATTCAGGAGTTTTTGCCCATTTTCTCCAGAAAAAATTCGTCTGGTAAGTTTCTCAAGCCCTTTTTGTGCTTTCTGGGGTTGGGTTCTTACGTAAAAGCCTCTGGTACTCACAGCGAGGTGGGAAGTTCCACCCACGTCGCCCTACAAAGCGACCAAGAGACACATAAACTCTTTGAGAGAGAACATCACAGTTGTGCCGTTTTCGTGGTTCGAAAGTGCGCGACAATGGCGCTAGGGCCTTACAAAGTGATCTGATGGCGACTAATGTGAACTTCATGGACGAGATACCTCGCGCTCGCCCTCATGCAACATCAATTACGACGCCATGTCAAATATGCGCGGTTAATGGAGCCATGGAGCAAGCAAACAAAGACAACTCGTCCGGACACGCCCTACCCTAATTTCAATAGGTGAAAGGACCGAGTCGTTGTTTAAGGGCTCCATCAGCGGTTTGCTTTGCTGTGCTTAGTCAGCTCGGCATACACAATTTCATTCTCGACCACTGTACCTCACAATTTGATCTGGGGTTGGTGGTTTACCAGTGGAGGTCTTAGCAGCTCTCAATCATAAACTCGATTTTTTGGGTGTTCCAATGGCATGCACCTCTGAAACAGAGGTGCTCATCTTGAAGCCTTTACAAAGGGGCAGCTTTACCAGGCTTACGTTTCGATATCTTTGCCCTTGTTGAAAGCCTAAAATGACCAAAAAACAGTTTAGTGTTGCTCGCCCCAAGAAAGGCTTGGGAACAAATTCAAAACGATATTTATCATGCCAATATTGGAAGAGAGGAGAACATGCTTATTTGAACTCCTCCTCCAAGCCTGCTATCTCAAAAACGTTTACAGCCACTGTGGCCGTATTAGTCACTGGGCGGAGTCCTCCCGAAGGGGCGGAGTTGGTGCACAGAAAAAGATAAAAGTCATTATACAAACACTCAACAGACCTCAGGTGAAAAGGAAATTTGAAATGCTTCTTAGGCGTTAAATCGTCCGACTTGCAATGGTTGTGACGTCTGCAGGCAAAGACTCTGTTTACTAGGGAATAACCTTCTGGTTAAGCACCTTGTAGAGAATTCCTTGTGCACCTGCCTTGGGAACGTGCTGAAAAATGGAGATTGAAGGGATTGCAATCACATTACACCAAAAAAGCAAGTTCAAAAATTTAGGTTATGAAGCTGGAACGATAACCTACTCAACAACTGTTTTGGGAGGTTTCTGAGCGTGTTCGTTTCCCCCAAAGTTCGGACAAGGAAGCAGCAAGGAAACTGATTTTTGTGAAGGGCATCCTCTGATGGCTTGTAGGGCGAGGCACAAGGAACACTTCACTG